GCTATTTATTCCGTGGCCAACATTCAGTCGATAGTCGATGGAATATTTATCGACTACAATTACTAGCTGCTAATTAATTATAATATTATTACAATAGTTAGTAAAGTTATAATAGTTAATTCAAAGCTTTTTAGGAAGTGACTTGGCTCACCCGGGAATCGAACCGTATAAACGTGAAAAAAATCCTGTTTTTTTGTGATGTTGATCGAAAGTGTCCATTATAAGACCAATTCATATATAACACTTAATCTAATCAGTATCTTAAATTTACTTAATTAAGTAAATTTTAAATTTTTTTAAATCTTATAATATTTACTTATATTCAAAAATAAAATAATGTTTTAATATAGCAAAATATCCTGTCTAGAATATTTAAAGTACCTTCCCACCGTATCGCATAGCCGTGAGACGCCTTGTATACGAGATTTGATTACTTCGAGATTCCGTGACAGACTATTTGCATCAACCAGCTTTTATAATAAAACCCTTGCCTGGAAGAAGATTGGTTGACACTGCACTGACTGTAAGCATATTCGAAGTAGGTACTATATTTTTCACCTCGTATTAAACTGTAATCATAACTTTTTTTAATATAATATCGAGTGATAGGACGTGCTCGTCCTCATCCTAGTCGTGTGTCTGGTGGTAACTCTGGTGGTGCTACACGCCTGTCTATAACAGTTGCAATGACACTCAGAGCTTTAAATGGCAAAGATTTGAAGGGCACTGACACTGCGCCTGTCACCCATACACATTAGTTGGACAAGTCCCATGTGCCTGTAATTTCACCAGCAACCTTACCTTTCAAAACGGAGAGGGTTTAAGCCATGGTACACTACCCTGGCTCAATGCTAGTTGGGACTTCACACTTTTTACGAGTGTTGTGAACCTTCTTCAACGTACAGGTTTCCTTTCGATGTTTTTTCACTTTAAAACTTCAAAATTCCGGACAACTCAGGTGTGCCAACGTGGATTCGAATCCACGGCCTCTTTGAAATGAATTTAAGTAAATTCTACAACAATTATAAAAAAAAGTCATTATTGATAAAAACATGTAGCTAGAGAAGTTCTCACGAGGATAAATTCAAACAGCTGCTTGATAAATAATGAAAACAATGAACTTTGAACTGTGGTATTAAGATTATATGCGTTAAACAGCTTTGACTGTGTGCATATTTGTTTCAGACGAGTGAGGAATCTCTCGGAAGCTATTTCGATAACGCCATCCGGTGACTAAAACAGTGAATGCAGTAGAGTCGTAATTCAGATTAAATATGTTTTAGGAGCAGTAGAGTCTTGTGAAAGACTTTGGCAAGGGAATTACTGCCACTGTACCAATTTCTGCCGCCAAGTGGTAATGTGGGCATTACTGTCACTGAACTTGTCAACTTATGTCTCAGATGGACGGGTGTTGCGGCAGTGCCTCTCGGATCTTTGCGATGTAAAGCTCTAAATGGCACACAACTACCGTGGACTGGCTTGTCGCTTGCTATCATGCGCACGACTTCAACGTCCGTCCCGTCACTTGTTATCGTAAACAACACTTTCCAGACTTTTTTTATTATATCAATTGACGGGAAGAATAATTCGTACCTACTCATAACAGTACCTTTATTATGTCGCTTGATTTTCGAGATTGTTAGACATAGGGCATGAAACATTTTTTCTGCGCCGTGACCATGAGATCTGTAAAGAGCCCAAGACGTTTGGTTTGTTTGAAGAAACAAATATATGCGATTTAGATCCGAAAAACTAGTTTCATTTCCCATGAGTGCTTTGTGTTAAAAAAAAGAAATGAAATGTAGGCAATGTTGAGTATCGCCGAAAAAATAATATAAAAATATTTACGCTGCTCAAGTTCGCAAGTTGGTTCTTGTAAATTCGTAAACGTAATTTAAAATTTGCGACAATTTTATCTATTTTGAAGTTCGAAATGGACTTTTTAGTATTTTTAGCCGCATCTACCAACTGTATTAAACACAGTTATGAAGCTGGTCGTGACATGGAAATTTTTGTGAAATTCATATATTTTTTGTGAAAAAACTCCACTGGTTTGTTATGATCACAGAACAATAAATACAGTAGAAGTGGTTAGTTAGCGTTCGACGCGTGCCAACTATAGGTCTCAAAAGACCTATCTGAGCTCAGTCCGCCCGTTTTCGCTTTGTATGGTGTGGTCGTGTCATTCTTTATCGTCGCGTATTTCATTAATATCATCGGAAAGTTTCAATAAATTTTTAATTTTCTGTACATCGAAATAATTTTTTTGGTACAGGAAACGAAAGTAAAGCTTATACCCCTGCAATATGATAGCTTCTTGTTTGGAGGACTAAATTAATGACTCCAATTCGTCGTCGTTCAGCAATTATTCGCTAGATGGCAGGTACATTGATTGAAATTTCAATATAATATCAAAACGTCGTAAATTGTAATAATAGGTATTAATGATATTAAACTTTCAACGATATGCCAACAGGGTAAAGTTGAAATTATATTAACAATCCAGAATTTATTTCTTTTTAAATTTGAAACTACGACCAATCAATATTAAGATTTTGTAATGTTTCAAATTAAGAATGTCTGAGTTTTGGCGACATTGGTTCTTGTAGTAATCGAGGCTTAAGATACTTCCATTGTTTTTTTTCTCCCGTTCTTATGATCATTGGTTTCCACTAGTTTGTTATAAGATAGTGGTGTACCGAAAAGTCTTTAATAGGTTTATGCGACACCGTTTTATATATTGTTACTTATTATAAGCTGTGTATGTTATAAAATAATACAAATATTGAACACAAAGAAAAATTCATTATTCACTTTTATATTAATATCTATAACAAAGCTAACGTGATTACCTATAGTCTGTCTAAAAGAATACTAATTTTTTTCAGCGTGGTTGGTAATTCAACGCCATCGAGTATACCTACTACCAGAAATAGAGACGAAATGTCATTTAATTTGTTTGAAAACTATTCTGCTATATCATTACTGTGACAACTGCTCTCCGATTGGCTAGCCCGAGTTTGAAACAATTGACAGCTGTCGTCAATGGGTGTCGTCTACTGTTTCACTTCAAAACGACCAGTTCACTTGAGTTTTGCTATAATGGACGAAAATGAAATACGAAACGAAAAAACATACATATTTAAATACCGATGAAATGTGATTGCGTTTGTTTTGTAATTAGATGTTTTGCTATTTTTCCCATACCACCGAATAGAACAGCACGGCATTGTTAGAGATCTTTATTACAATAAATACAGAATATTTTTTGGAATATACGGAGACGGACACACAGGTCAGTAGTTGGCCTGTCTATGTTTCAGTGCAAACGAGAGTTCATATTTATAAGAGCTGTATCGCTAATGTGTCACCAGGAATATATGGCCCTTATTTCGTCTCTATTTCTGGTTATATGCTCGATGTTCAACACACATGTCAAAATATGTGTGTTGAATACACAATGAATGGTTTCAATATTGTTACTCCGTTTAATAGGTATGACAGCCGGGATGATGTCCTAATATTTCAGGGTATAGATGATTCGATTATGTAATCCCAACCAATAAAGCTTCGCAAACATGAAACATTTAACAATATATTTTTCTGTAGAAATCAATTTTGTTCGAAGGACACTCAGCTAGACGCGTATCGTCAGCGCCAACCTGCGAACGGAAACGTAGTGGCTAAATTATCAATGTATGTATATTTGATGCTATTTCATTTGAAATAAGGTATAAATTTTAATGCTTTAGGACCCATCTCGAACTATCGCAGCGCATTTTTCTCTGCGCCTCAGAGCATTGAAATGCCTTATTCCAAGTACAATAGCATAAACTATTCATTGATAAATTTAATGCTCTTGCCTTCCACCGGTTTACGCTGGCCCGAAGATGAATGACGACTCTGTAATTACCCGTCACTTTCAACAGTGTTGTCAATCAAATTACTGTTTCTAATAATTATTTCTCAAATGGCAACTTTAGGTAAAATACGCTCTAATATTGTGGCCCAGAACTCAGCCATGTCGACCGCGTTACACCCGTTAAATCCCCAAACGGGTAGGGCACGCAGGGCGACTCAAACAGTCCAGGTTAGAAACATCCGAAAATCCCCACCTGAACAAATTGTCCTTACTCCGACTTACCTGAGTTCGAAGCCTACTCAAAGACGTCCAGATCGGCCATTCGTGTTCAGAACGAAGACTATCCGATAGACGACAGAACGTAGATAACAGTACTCTTACGTACTTAAGCGGCTGGTAAGTATCGCTATTAAAAATATAATAGTTAGCCTATACGAGTAGACCCACTGCTGGGCTCTCACAAGTTCCCATGCGGGGATTGGGAATTTCACACAGGTCATTAAATTGCTTTGCAGATGTGTGCTGGTTTCTTCACGATGTTTTCTTTTGTCGAAAATGCTCATGGTAAATTTCAAATTCAAATTCAAAGATCGAAACCATGGCTCTCTACTTTTTTTAGAATATCATCTAATGGTAAGCCACACGCCTGCCCATAACAATTGCAGTGCCACTCAGAGTTTTAAATCGCAAAGATCTGAGCACTGTCATTGCGCCCGTCATCCTGAGACATAAGTTGACAAGTCCTGTATGTCTGTAATTTCACCAGTACCCTTACACTTCAAAAAGAAATAGGTAATGCCAGTACTTCCCCAGACGAACTCTTTCACAAGGAGCTCTACTGCTACTAAACAACTTGAGAGGCGGTAGGTCATAAACCTAGGAAATAAAACTATATTTTCGATTTTAAATCGCGTATATTTGTTGTTTCAAATAAACCAAAGTTTCGGGCCTAACTCGCGACAACCTAACTCGACTGCTATAAACAATTAATTACCGGTAACAAAAGTTTTTACTCAAGGATATTCCATAGCCAACCTTGTCCAGTTCTCTAGTGCCAACACAAAGGGTGTTGGCAATTATTATCATTCGATGTTGGACGCTCTGAGTGAATATACTGAAACCTGTTTTTTTAATTATTGGCATCGGTGTATTAATTGGGGCAGTGATAATTGGTACTCGAATTGGAACGTCCGATGACGGAGAAGTGATGTGATAAATAATTGTAAATAATGGATAAAGAAAATTTATTTTGTAAGTAATTTGTTGTTTGTTGTTATTATGGAATTAGGTTCATATGTACAATCTGAACTCCTGGAAAGTGATGTGGGCGAGCATGGTACACATACATTTGCATAGAAGAAGCCTGTTCAAATTGATTCGCCTTAAAATTTTATTCTTAGTTTATTTGTTGCAAGTTTATTGAACATGAATGGATGGCATAAAAAGAAGACTGAACTGTGCTATTACGAAAAAAAAGTAAAAGAAGAATCGATATTTAGCACATACACGCGATATTCGTACAGCATTTGCTACTCGACAATACAAGTGACAGTCAGTGTTGTTTACAACTTCATTAACAAAACATAAAATCTCAGTTGGTTCCATAGAGTCTATTTATCCTTACCAGAGACCGGATCGAATGGCACAATGAACATAATGACTGTACCATTTTTTATGTTTAATATCTTTAAAATTCATGAATAGTTTCCTAGAACCGTTTTCCTAAAACGCTTACTACACACTGAACATTCACTGATATAAGTAATTATTATAACTAACCCAACACGAGCATAAATTTCTTTAATGGGAAAACCTCATCTTATGTGTAAAATTTGAGTAGTAAATACATTTTTATTTTTATTTATTTACGACGAGACAATTGCTCAAAATAGTGGGCACTAATGTCTACAGGCCATAAATACATAATACCATGTAACAAGATTTTTGTTTCTGCGTTAGCAATATAATTTTAATTTATTTCTATTTCAATTGGTTCTAACATAAAACATGAAAAAACTGCTTTGGAAGACGATGAAAAGTTGAAATTTGTGTACCATTAAGGAAACGTATAAATTTACGGAGTTTTCTTCATCTAAAAATGATCTAAAAACAAAAACTGAACATTATACTTCAAATCAATAGTATATTTTAACGAAAAAATTCTACAAAGAACGTCGAAATATGGGGATTTACGAGATTATGTAAATACCACTATGTACCTAAAATTTAAAGTGACCTCTTTGCTTATTCGCCGTAAAAGACAGGACCTCATATACTTGCATAAGATTCTTCATGGCGAGATTGACTCATCTTACGTTTTAAGTAAAATAAATATCAGCATAAGGCGTAATCCTCGAATACCTAGCAAGACATTTAACCTGCAAACGTATAAGAATAACACTTCCTTTTATAATCCTCTGATAAGAATGTGAAAACATTTTTATGAAAAACTCCGGTTTGGATATTTTTGACTCAAAATCCAAAATATTTTAAGGAGTAGTATAGTAACTCGCTTAACACTTACATAGGTATTCACTAGAGATGCGCCGAGTACAAGTTTTACCGAGTAACCGAGTACCGAATATTACTCGCTTTAACATTTGCCGAGCCGAGTACTTGGCCGAGTTACTCGGTTCATTATAACCGGAACGCGATGATCCTAAAAGTCCCGTTGCTCTAGAATTAGGGCGATATGTTAATGAAAGTTTATCATCGCGAGTCCTTTCCAATGGTGAGTAGGGCATAAAACAAGATATCCAAAACTGGCACTTTAGCACGGGTATTTTTATGTGCACCTACAAGTATATTGTGCATAGCGAGTGGTTATTTTCCGAAGCGGGTGATGTGTATGAAGAAAAAGGAACAGACTATTACCTGAACGCGCAGAAAGCCTTGTATTCCTACATCATAACTTGCCTTTGTTAAATTTTAAATATTAATAATGTAAACTTTCTTTTTAAATTACTAAATTGCTACAAATTGTTACAATTGTCTAGAATTTGTAGTAATAAATCTCTTTTGATTATTTGAAATATATTGCTAGTTTTATTTTGTTATGTCTATAGCCGTAATGCTCTATTTTAACCGAGTACTCTTCTCATGAACCTAGTTATTCGGCCGAGTACTAGTAGCAAAAAAACGGCCGAGTACACCGAGTACCGAGTAGCAAACGTGTACTCGGCACATCTCTAGTATTCATCCAAAACCGTTTTTGTGTTTAGTAAATTAGTGGGTATACTAATTATCTAAGGAAATTATTAGCAAATTGTTAACAGTAGTTAGATCTTTCTTGTTACTTTATAATGATGCGTCAACATAAGTAGGGACAATCTAGTCATCGTCATCATCATATACAGCCTGACTTCACCCACTGCTGGGTATAGGCCTCCAAGTTTCTGTGCCACTCCCCACGATCCCGTGCCAATCTCATCCAGGTTCGCCAGTACAATCTAGTACAGAACTTTTATTATACTTAACTCTTATCAATGTAATTCGATTGTTATCTAATTTGTTGTTCATATAATAAATAAATAAACATGTAAATATCTCTGCGACAGCCCTAAAAACAATGTTTCAGGGGTATAACAGCTACCAATGGAGAGGCATGAAAAACTTTATACGTTAATAAAAACACTTCCCTTAAGAAAAAGTGGCGCCTTGTCGATACTCAAACACAACTTATTAGCACTCAATGCTAGTATACTTCATTTCACTGGTTAACTTATTCTACATGTAAAATTTAGCACAAAATGTAGTATTTGATAATACGTAGAAAATTTTGGGCAATCCGGTGAAAACTTTACTATTTATTTTATTTTATAGATAAGGTACATCAACAGTAGTACATATACTCTAAAAAATAATTTAAAAAATAAAAAAGCAAATAAAAAAATAAATAAATAAAATAACATAAAATAGAAAAAAAATTGAGGTATATGGACGCCTCGCCACTTATAGCTATTCTTTTCTACATACTTGTAGCTTTATTAAACAGAAACCAATACTGTCAAACCAGAAACAGAAGATTTGTGAAAATTTGTCATATAGTGGAATAAAGAAATAATAAGACTAGAATACGGGTTATATTTGGAGCTTTTTTATTCTATCCAATATGTAGAATCCTAATTTACAGTTTAGGGCGTTATTTTTATTAAAATGTATGATCCTAGTAAAATAAATTTGAATCAACAAAAATTAATTTATTTTATAATATATTCTTCTTCTTTTTTCTTATAAATATATATTAGTATATATTACTTTTATTTTTAATATTGTCACTGTTTTTTTTTTAAATTGTATTATTGTCATAATTTTTATATAGACACACCACAGCAATTATCCTTTTTATATGATTTTTACCCCCTGGTTGTACCGTAGGTATTCACTCAATGGTATCCAGTGAGTGGAGGAATACTGAATTCCAAAATACAAGCTTTCGCTTAGTTGTGAATTCCTAAGTTTTAAACATTTTATACAAGTTGCACATACAAACATGTAGTGTTTTTATTTTACTGTATGTATGTACGAATGAAATAAATGTTATTATTATTAATATATATTTTATATACAATAAAAAATATTTAATTCATTCAATCATATTTGCACTGATCATAACTAGAAGGGGTTTTAACCTTAAAACGCCGCGCTAGCCCACTGGCTAGACGCACGACACACGACGCTCTTGTCGTGGCGAGTTTTTCTCCCTAACGCGTTAGCCTATGATAAGCAGTGCAACAATTTAAGCATTAATGTACTTCTCACCATAGTTACCTGGGAGACCACAAGGAGGTGCGATTCGGAATTGGTAGCTTGGTTCTGTGAAATAAAGTCACAACATCTTTACATCACAGACCCCTGCTACCCCTTTCCCGCTGTCAAAGTTGCGGACAATAGATGGGTGAGAGTAGCGGGAGGCCTATACCCAGCAGTGAGTGAAGTCGGGCTGTGGATGATGATTAATATATTTCCGATGGTTACACAGATAACAATCGAATTAAGGGAATTATAATGTAAGCACAAAGGCGGAATCTGTCAATATAATGCATTAATACTAGCGCAACTTGGGTACGGTTTTAAGCGGTTGTCAATGGCATTTCAACTTACATGTAACAGGCTGCAATTTCCATTGGTTATTGGTTGGGATACATAAAGTATAATAACAATATAGTTACGTATGCCCAAAGTATGAGTATCGCTACAAAAGGGTTCCTTAAATGGAGAATACCGTCATTTTAGTCATAAGGATATGACTAAAATGACGTCATCCATTTGATTGGTCTAAACCTAGTCTTACTTCTTTATGTTGGGTGGTTAATATATCGTATAAATTGTTTAGTTTAATAAATGATGATGATGAGATAATTTATTAAATAATTTTATCAATATAATAGTAACAATTATAATAGAATCGTTTATTTACCTCAAGATTTAAAAAAAATGCAGTAGAATTTAGTAGCAGTAGAGCTCCTTGTGAAAGAGTTCGTCCACATATGTAGGTACTGCCACCTTACTTAGAATTAAGCAGTAATGTGAGCATTACTGCGTTCCGGTTTTGAAGGGTAAGGGTGCTTTCCAAAATTTTTAGGAGATTACTAAATACTTAGCACAAAATAAATATAATATAGATATTAGTATTACACATCTTTTATATCTATATCTCTTAATATATATCTATATCTTTTAATATGAGTTACCTTTCTTTGTCTTACTTAGTTTCTTTATTGTCTTTCCAGATATAACATTTGTCTTCTTCACACTCATTCTACAAGTATCAACCACGGCGACATGTGTTGTCAAAGATCGGGTTGACTGTCGGTATACCGTCATCTGTGAAAATAATGCTGGAAACGCATTCACCCCTGAATGTAACTACAGCCCATACGTCACATTTATCATCACCAAGTCTACTGCAGACCCACTCTATACTGGTTTCTTTGGTTCAACCAATTTTGATTCCCGCGTCCGTGTCATAAAAGCAATAGATAACAACTGGCCAACACTAGACACCAACGTCTTTAAGTACTACGTTAAAACAATTGTCATGGACTTATCAAACAATAACATTAAAACTATTAGAGATGACGTTTTCAGACCGTTAACTGCTTTAGAAAATTTGAACTTGTCTTCAAATTCCATAGAAACTTTGAACTCAAGAAGTTTTTACATCGTTGACTCAAAAAAACCATCGCTTAAAGTTTTAGATTTGTCAAATAATAAGATAGCGGAGCTGTCTAGTGATTTATTCTCGTACATACAAAACTTGAAAGAACTGTATCTAGTGAACAACGAAATAAAAAGCTTGCAAGATGATGCCTTTCAGAGCCTTAGTGGCCTGACTCATTTGTACTTACAGAATAATCAAATAACTAGACTCAATGAGACTTTGGCATCCTTGAGATCGTTGGTAAAATTAGATTTGTCTTATAATTCTTTGACTTCGATATACGGCAACGAAATGAATCGGTTAACTAGTTTAGAATACTTTAATGCTTCACACAATGTTATCGAATACATACAATCAAACTGTTTGAGTCAAGCGTTTAACCTACAGACTGTGGATTTAAGTCATAATAAACTTCAGTCAAACATAGAAAACGTCATGTTCGTAACTAATAACAAACTTGAATATTTGAACTTGTATCATAACATGATTACGCAAATCCAAGACAATGCATTCAAAAATAATATCCTCACTTATTTGAACCTTGAGAAAAATAATTTGACCGGTGAACTGAATAAGAATATTTTAAGTGGCTTACACAGAATAGTAAGCTTGGATCTTTCCAATCAAAGTATCAGTGCACTTAAAAACAACGCCTTTTCCGATGCTGTCAGTTTAATATACTTGAATCTAAGTAGAAACAACATCAATTTAGTTGATAATACTAGTTTTGAAAAAATATACAAACTGCAAATTTTGGACTTTTCTTACAACAATATTTCGAATATAGACTTTCTTACTAAATGTTTGTTTAATCTCACTGAACTGTATCTTACAAACAATAACTTAACGACGATAAAATCGTACGCATTTGCTAATCAAACCTATTTGGTGAAGTTAGACTTGTCAATGAACAAAATTGTCATCATAGAGCCTTACTCCTTGCCCTTGACAAATTTACAATATTTGAATGTTAGTGAAAATCCTGTAACCGGCGTAATGAAAAGCAATATTTACAGTCCTGCAAAGTTTATAAGGTTTTTAGATCTCACTTATTTCAATATTTCTGAAATAGGCGCGTTATCCTTGATTGACCTTCCGGTTCTAGCTAGATTGAATATATCTCACAACAATATAAAATGTATTGACCCAAATAACTTCAGAGGAGTGGGTAATATGTACAGTCTAGACATTTCGTTTAATTTGCTGTCTAGTTTTCAGTTAAATAACGTTACGTTGAGTAATTTAAAAGCGTTTTACTTGAATAACAATAGATTGGCAGACATTACAAACACTCTTATTAATATGCCAAACCTTTTGTACCTGGATCTGTCGTATAATTTTATTGTAGAGTTGATCAGTGTACCCTTTTCGGGGCTGCTAAATTTGAAAGTTATTCATATTTCACATAATAAAATATCTGAATTCAATAATCCCCAAACGAATTCAATGACAAAATTGACTGTATTGGACCTATCAAACAATCAACTGGTTTCAGTAAACTTGAGTTATTTCAGAGACCTAGTTGTAGTGGATGTGAGTAACAATAGGTTTACCTCAATTAACTTCACCTTTTTTGAGAATCTTGACTATTTACAAGTACTAGACATGAGTAATACAAGTATATCGGAGATCGCTCCTGGCACGTTCAAGAACGTAAAGATTTTAAAGCTTTTGAACATGTCTCATAATCATTTGACAAATCTCCGTTATGGCAGTTTGCGAGGTCTCCACAAAACTGAAGACCTAGATTTATCGTACAATAAAATTGCTGATGTTGATGTAGATGTTTTTCACGAATGCACTGAACTTAGAATATTAACAATTGACTACAATAATTTATCATCATTGGATGTTGAAAGATTGATAAATACTTTACCCAAATTGAAAACACTGAGCTTGGGGGGCAACCCAATTTCTTGTAAAGAAATAGTGAGAAATATGAAAACATTTAATAAGAATAATATGTTAAGACAAGTTGAGGTTACGTCTGTAAATAAAGTTTACCATGATGATAACGTACATGGAATTAAATGTGGGAATAAAAATTATACAATTGATACAACAAATCAATCTGGCAACAATTCACAGGATAATTTTACATATAGTCACACTACATCTCATATTCTGCTGGTATGGTGTACTATATTAACTACAGTTGTTATTATTGTAGTTGGAGTTTACTTTTATAGACAACGATCAAAACCTTTTTATGGTACTAGAGACTCGAGAGTGCCACTTGGAGCCTCTTTAGATTTTTCATTACATTCAGAAAATCAAAGCGATTTATTGGGATAACGTCGATGGTTTTCTACAATGGTGGCCTGTCTCAAAAACTCCTAACTTAACACCAAGCTGGATAAACAAATTGAGATATTTCTGACGCCCTAAAGCTACGGAATCCTATACCGCCTAATGTTTTAATTGAATAATTTAAACAATGGAAAAAGTAGCTGTATAATAAGTCAAAAATAAACAATTTTGGTTTGGGTTTCTATTTTTGGTAAGCAGCGATATCTCATTACGTCCTTAATTAAGTAGATTTATATAAAATGTAAATGTTGGCATTAACGTACATTTAAGTGTCCTCAAAACATTGTTAACATCAAAAAGTTAAATGTACTTAGTAGTAGATTAGTTTGTTTAAAATAAACAATGGTTTTTTGGATTGTATTTAAAAGTATTCTTATTTCAAAATTTGTTAAAGAACAGACTTTATTAAAATGTATCACGCACTAACTAATTTAAACGAATAAAATGAAGGCGTTACATCTATTCAGCTGTTGCTTTAAAAAATGGCTGTATAAAAGTATAAAAAGGAGGCGAATAGAACGCCACCAACGCTATTTGAAAATTTAAACATAGTATTATTATTACCATTGCAAGGACAAAAGACCTCGTCATAAATTCAAATGGTTGATTTATTCATGCACTCACTGAATGAATCATTTTGCATGAATTGTACATAACTTTAAGTACAAATAACGGGTAAAGGTTATAAATCATCTTTCGGAGTATGAGACTTGTGTGCTTTTTCTAGTTTTTTTTCTTTAGAAGAATGAAAAAAACGAATGAGGAGGTGTTAAGACACGCAAGAAAAGAGAAGCTTATTAAAGACAATGAAGAACCGAAGGGGAAAGATGTTTGGGTATGTGATACGTCACGACAGTTTTCTTACAAGCATCATAGAAGGGAAAACCGTAACAAGTAGAGGCAGAGAAAGATTGAGACGATTGAGATCGGTTAAATTAGTGTCGTGTCATATCAGGATCTCACAGTTGCAAAGTTTACAAGAGCCTAGCCCTTAAATAAGAAGGAAAGGTTCTTTTAGCGTTTCTTTGAAGTAATTAAATAAAGTAACTACCGACTACACATGTCTGATAGTTTTCCGAATGGCGGCGGCGCGGCGTGGCACAAAACATTTTTTAATCAATGTAAGTACTGTAATTTTCTATCATATTTAAAAATTGTAAATAAAAACAATGGACCTGTACAATGACTAAGGTAGAATTTATCGAGCCCTTACCGCCGGCTTAGTGTAAACCACAAAAAACAAATTTTACATGAGAGGGTATTCAATCTAGTATCACATTTATATGTGACAATAAATTGATTTTAATATACAATAAATTTCCTAATCGATTGCGTAACAGCTAAAATCTTTTGAAACAATAGACGCTTACAATATTTTGGCTATCTCTATTTTTAAGGCTTTCAAGCATTTAAGGGAACTAATTTGACGACGAAAAAAAACAACGCAATTGTGATGTATTATGTCGGTTGCAATAACAAGTGGAGTCGCTTATATCATAATTTTTTAATGTTGATTCTGTCGGTTACACTAAAACATAAAAAACGGTAAAGCTAACGAACGATAAACTTAGCTTTTGCTATAATTTCTATTTGACGTAATTTTATTGAAATGGCGACGCGTCCTTGCCCGTTTCAATTTAATATAGCATTTGCAATAAAAAACCTAGATAAGTCGGCGACTATGGCTCGTTTTTTCTTTTCTTCATTAATAATGCTTAGTATAGTATGTGAGGGATTGACCGGTAGGAGATCAAATGATTGTTTATTGGAAGATCAACGGATCGAATCCCCGTGACAGCATTTACCTATGACTTTCAATTTCTAAATTACGTAAATTTGTGAATGTTGAATAGCAACATCTCTCGGTAATGGTGAAGGTAAACTCCCCCTTTAGAGAAGAGCCGTGTCCAGCAGCGGGACCGAAACTTATTTATTTACTCGGATCAACTATGAATTTAACAAAAACATTAAACAAAATACACAAATATGTATTTCTTACTTAGAGCGGTTACACACGGAGACAACTTGATGCAAACGCGATACAGTAGCTAATCGTCTAACTTTAACACGCGCCAATTTAAGCAGCGATGCAAACGCGCGACTGCAACGATACTAACGCGCGATTGCATCCCTACACTTGTAATTTATAAGCGATTGCATTGATGTAATCGCGCGTTTGTATCGATGCAATTGCGCGTTTGTGGTGATGTAGTCGAACGTTTGCGAGGATGCAATCGCCTATAAACCGCAAGTGTAGCAATGCAATCGCGCGTTTCACGAACGTGCGTTTGCATCGCTGCTAAAAAGTCGCTATGTGTAACCACTCTTAACACATACGATTTTTTTTTGTTTATGGGGGCAAATGCTTTATGCATACCCTCGAGCTCGAGGAGGCTCGAGGGTTATTTGAGACTAGCCTTCCAGGAGGGTATACCCACTAAAATCCGCCCGGCTTACCCTCTTGGCCAGGTGTTATGGGCGCCGAACGGTTCTAGCTGGTACAGAACCTTTAAGAAATATCCACCAACAACAAGTTTGTCAAGTATTTTTTTGCAAATTTCAAAAGTTTTGTGGATATTATAGGAATTAGAAGTAATATGTTGATTTGCAAATTCGCAACTTCCTCGGGAACCGTTGAATAAAACATGGGACCTTTTAATATAATTCACCATCAACGTGTGAAGTCCCATTTAGAGGAGGTAGGATATGTCATAAGTTCATAATGATGTATATTGATTTTTATGCTATATAATTAATGAAATATTTTTTATTGCACAAACAATTACAATTAAAATACAATACAATAGCTTAAGTATAATAGGAGTAGTAAGTTAATGTATAACAGGCGGCGTTGTTGCTATGTAGCAATTTGTTCCAGGTAACCTTAGGATAGACATTTCCGATATGCAAAAATGGCTATATAATACAATTATTATCATACCATGCTTAGAGGAAATATCAGAATAGTGTTTTTTGTGAGTGTGTGTTCCAAGCCCGGATTCGAACCTACAACCCTGTGCTTGGGAGGCGGTAGGTCAAACCATTAGATTATCGCGGCTACAGTTCTCTCTAAAATTAATAGTAATTCATTTATCATTATAAACACATTTTTGTTTATTTTAGCTATCACACCGCTGCAAACCTCTTAAAATGTAAGCCAAAGAGGGCAATTTGAGGGTGCATTTGATTATTTCCGAGGGGAGATTTTAATCTCTGTGAAAAAGGTTATGTTTGGCTATTACGAGTTGCAATATTTTAAAAGTTTACACTGCGAAATGCTCTCAAAAAGTAATTTGCAGTTAATATATTGTTTTTCATATCATCCTCTTTATCACGAACGGATGTTACTTACAATTTTGATGGAAAAAAGTTATTCACGTAGTTTGATTTACAATTTAATGCTGGAATGTGAATATTTCGATTTAGTCAAATTTGAAAGTGTTTAGTGACGATGAAATCGTGGGTCTGCGGGTAACAGTTGCAGTTCCGCTTAGAACTTTGAATCTCAAAGACCTGAGGGGCACTGTCACTGCACCCGTTACCCTGTGACATAAGTTAATACGTCACATGTGCCTGTATCTTCACCAGCACCTTAACCCTTCAAACCCGGAACTCAGTAATGCTCGCATTACTGCGTAACGGCAGAGATAGGTAAAGTGGCGGTACTTGCCTTGACGAACTCTTTCACAAGAACCTCTACTGCTACTAAAATAATGAGCTATAATCTGACGATGACATGTAAAGAGCAACATATAAATCGAGTACCTAGTAAGGTTTTTACGATTGCTATTCATTGGAAATGACACTAGTTTTTGGGATCTGAAAGCGCATGTAAATATTTTTTGCGTGATTTTGCAGGGGCAATTTTTTATGAAGTGACGGGACGAACAAGTCGTGCGCCTGGCTGCAAGCGACACGCCTGTCCATATCAGTTGCAGTGCCGCTCGGAACTTGAAATTGGAAAGATCTGAGGAGCATACCTCTGTGGGGAGTTCCCGGGTTAGGGTAGGGTAGGCAGCCCCATATTTTTCTACGTTAGTTTTAATTATAGTGACCCTCCCTACCTACCTACCATACGAAATGGGCACTATAACCTGTGGTTCTGACCCCATTTCAGCCAGAGTACAGGGTTGTCACAGACCTCTGTCACTTAACTTCATCCAGTTCTTCTAGAGGCTAGTGCCTTGGGTGAGCCGCCCCGGGTGCACGTACAGTACAGTAGTGCTGTAGGCAGTCATCATCATCATTATCAATCCATTTATACGGCCCACTGCTGGGCACTGGTCTCCTTTTAGACAAGAGTTTAGGTCTAGTCCGCCATGTTTGCCCAATGCGGGTTGGAGACTTCATGCGTTTTTCGAGAGTTGTGAACCTTCTTCGACGTATAGGTTTTCATCACGACGTTTATCTTCATCGGAAAGCTTATGATATATTTTAAATTGAATTTGGAAGCTTCGGGTTGTGCTTGGAGTTTAATTACGATGCTTTGGTTTTCATAGTACAGGGAATTTCCTAGTTTCAGACCATGTTATCGGTGTGGTTACTCAGTTGAACATTATATGCAATTAAATATTTTGCATTTATATCCTCCGAATACGAATTTGTGAGAGAAATAATAAAAAAAGATAGAAAGGAAAAGGAAGAGAAGATAAAGAGTGGCGTATAGGGAACAAATAAAAAGCAAGATCAAAGTTAACAGTTGTAAATAGGTCAAGGAACTGCCTATGAACCGTGAGGAGTGGAGGAGGCTACATCGACAAGAGTCTGGCTTTTAATGGTCCTCCGAAGATGATTGTCTATAAGAATCCAAGCAATTAGTAGCAGAAGAACTCCTTATGAAAAAGTACGTCCAGGGAAGTACTGCCGCCTTACCTATTTCTGCCCTTAACCAGTAGGCATTACTGCATTCCGGTTGGGAAGGGTAAGGGTGCTAATGAAATTACAGGCACAATGGACTTGTCAAATTACGTCTCAGAGTCATGACGAGCGCAATGGAGACCTTTGCGATGTAAAGCCCTGAGCTGCACTACAACTGTTATGCACAGGTGTGACAATTACCATCAGGCGCACGACTGGTTGATCTCGTCACTTGGTATTATAAAAAAAGGTAAAGTGAAAACGTATAAGTTCATTGTTGTAGTCAATAAACTTAATATTACAGTTGTTAAGGCTACATTTCTTGCCTGCCGCTGGTAGTTGTAAACATATCTGACTGAGTGACGAAAGACTTTTATAGATTTCACACAGATGGCGCTATGGTAATCAAGTCGTTAAAAACCAAAAGACAAAAATCTGAAACAAGCATGAGTAAATCGTAAGGTCTGCTGGTTCGTTCCATTCCATAGCTCGGTTGGGAGAGCGTCAGCTACGGTATG